GTTGGTTCCAAGAAGTGATATAGGGGGTGGGACGGGAACATTATTGGCGGGTGACAGAAAGTGATAACAGTTGATAAGATCCGATAAGGGGCCTCGGAAGGGGAGGGTCACCAAATTCGTAACGCAGGTTACAGCAACAGTGGGACCTTGGATCCGAGAGGTGATATAGGGTGTGGGACGGGAACATTATTGGCGGGTGACAGAAAGTGATAACAGTTGATAAGATACGATAAGCGGCCTCGGAAGGGAAGGGTCATCAAATTCGTAACGCAGGTTACAGCAACAGTGGGACCTTGGATCCGAGAGGTGATATAGGGTGATATGATAGTGATATGGGACGGGAATATTATTGGCGGGTGACGGAAGTGATAGGAGCTGAAAGTGACAAGGTAACATGGGAAAATCCGCTTCACCGCTCACAACAACAATGCGATCGATATGACTCAAGTATAACGATCTCAATGATTCCAACAGAACTCATTCCTCACTGCTTATTAGTAACGACATCATGTACGACCGCTAAGCTAGCTCTATTCCAAATGCATGGGGTTTGTTTACAGAGATGTTATGAACAGCAGCAATTGACTTTAATCACTCTTACCACAATTATCTTCCATCAACAACCTTAGTGAGGGCCATTTAAAGGGTTCCACTGCTGAATGCGGGAGTGCATTCCAAAGCAAGACGCTTTAAGAGGACAGAATGCATGAATCATAGGCTGCTTCAGCGGCTAACCTAACAGGCTGCAATATTCCCGTGTAGGTTATGAACGTACCAGTCGGATCGCTGGCTAAGGCCGGCTCTCCCCCTTCTGTGATGCGGCGGGCGCTCCTGCTGCTTCTGCGACGGGCGCTACTTTTCAGTTCTTGGCTGATGCAGAACATTCCTTCGAACAGTTAGGTTGATCAGCGATTCGTAACTCAGCACGCGGCAAATGCGCATGGCCCGGCGAAGCCGGGTCATGTCACAGAAGGAGGAGCGCCCGGCGACAGCTGGGCGATCCGACTGGTATCCCTATAGGGCACATAATTATCTGGATTCGGTCGAGTCTCTACGACCCCTCTGGCTTCCTCCTCATCGAGCTGTCGAGCGTGGGGGTAATACGACCCCTCTCTCTACCAATTTTTAGATTTTTCCCCCACTTCTTACCACTTTTCCGGGAATTCCCTGAAACTTTTCCTAGTTTCAGCCTAAAATTTCGCTATCTTGTGGGAGATTAGGTATACAGGACACATGAGACCCGAACGGAAAAGCGCGAAAAATCAACAGTCTCTTCCAGAAAACCAGAAGCCAAATACGACAATCCCTGCTGGGGAATACCCAATAACGGTGCCCTGGATCCCAATCCCATCCCCTCCATTTAAATATTTATTTAAATGTTGCAGGCTACCACAACCGTAGCTGTCGCAAAACTAAGACTCCCTCCCGAGGCGAACAGCGCTGTTCGATATAGCTGGCTGTGATTCTCCTGTCTCTGAAAGATTTCGCTTTTTTTCAGCGGCTACCCTTTGCCCTAAGGAATGTGAGTATTGTAAAGCCGCATGCTATTTCCGAAGCGGCTCGGACTGCAAGGATGCCGAGTGTCCAGCAGATTATGGTGGAAAATGGTGGTGATTAAAATAAATGTTTTGAATGAATTCCAGCAGAAAAGAGCATAGTAAACTCGCAATCATTACTTCCAGAATTCTGTGACTGATTTGCATCCGATTCTGCACAAGAGTTCGAAGATGTATCCTCCTTTGTCAGTTCCAGAATCAGTCTGAACATGACCTCTCCAACGCCCACATCGCTTTCAAGCAGAAGGCTGCGGGCATTATAATGTGTATCTAATTTTCAAGCAGTGCTCAGAGTTGTTATCAAGAATCTAACTTCAGCACAAGAGTTACTGTACGTTAATCGTGTACCAGGATATCTAACGAGGCACCTAAAAAACCCTTGTAACCGCCCGAAACCAAGCACGCCTCCACTCTAGCACAATCGTAGTGATAGCATAGTAACATGTAGTCACATCAGCACAAGATTTTATGGAGAACGCCCTGGGGTTACGAAGACAAGTAAATGACTTTCTTGAAAACAGTCTCTATGGTTCACTTTCTCAAACATCTCTGTCCATTAGTCCAATTTGAAAGACTCTGATTTCCTCGCCCAGGAGTCGATTTCTCCAAGTAAACATCGACGGCACAACACTGGCCATGTTTTCAACTTCATTTGAAGACAGAAGTAAAAGAGGAAAAGACGAGAAAACAGCAACAATTTATTGATAACAACAAAATTCAGAACACCATCTTGTGAGGATACTGCCTCTTACCCAACATGAATCGCGATCCTAAATAACCGAAGAGGGCTTTATGTTCAGGGTTTTTCTTGATAGCGGCCAGGATAGGTTTGTCAGTAACTTTCAGGTCAGTCTTCCTCTGCTCGGTAACCTAAATACCGACTGTTCTTCAATATCAAGGGGAAAGAAGCATCAAGCACCTGTGCGACGACAACTGAAACCCGCAGATAAGAGAATACTGTACAAAGACAGACCTGATATTCAACCTTTCCAGCAGCGAAAATATTCTCTCCCTTCTTGCCAGACAACTTCTTTCGCCTGAAGTAATCGTCGTTGATGTGGTCTGGAATCTTCTCATCAGATACATCCTCGTCTTGGTGGCGATGACGAACCTCCCCAAGGCCTCGATCAAGCCTTGAGGAGGTCATTCACTTTGTGAGGCCTGAAAGCCACACACTTACAAATATAAGACATACAAACCAAAACAGTATTTGGAACTCTTGAAAAAAGGAAATCTAAATAGCACGAAAACACCAGTTTAAGATCCCTCGAAGATTTCACAGCACTAACTCCTTCCGAATCCTATGCACCATGTGGGATTAGTTCAAATCCCTACACGGCACATAATTATTAGGTTGTCCCAGAAGTCGTGACATTTTCGAACTTTTTATTCCGATGAAAAGCAGTTTGATCAATAATATACAGGGGGGCCGAAAAAACGTCACTTTTCTTCCTTGACTTTCGAGGCGCTATAAGTTACACTTTATCGAATTCTGATCGGACATTTTTACCACCATATTAAAGAGCATATTAAATACTATCACGATACTCCGCCACAGCCTTCTGGAGGAGCGCCATCGAGAGATTCTGCCACGCGACCGTGAGTGGGTACCTGAGTTCAGCGACATAGTTGATTTCTCCGCCACTGTAGACCACACTATTGAACTCCGCCCAAACCAGGTAATTGAAGGGACAGTTCTGGTGGCCTGCTTAGATAT